AAAAAGGTACTGCAGCAGCCTTTCGCAACCCAAAACCCAAAATGTTTGTGAGGAACAAGGATTTATCCACTCTACCACAGCCAGTGACCCTGCAGGTATAGCAGAGGCATGGCATGAAGGCAGGTTATGTGCTGCCCAGAAGCCTGGCCCCAGCTCCTCTAAACCAGGCAAAGAGATTTCTGTTCAGTAGCAAAGGCGAACTGGGAAGTCAGCTTGTGAGTGAATGGTCCTGTCTTTCCCCCACCAAAAAGCTAATAAAAAGGCACACTGTGAAAAAGAACAGTTTGGGTTGGGTTTTTGTTTTTGAGAGGGATCCATACTTGTTATGACAAAAATTACAGAGGAGAATTTATTTCCCTGGGATCAGCAGCTTGGAAATTCCAGGTCCCTGCGTGGCGGCTACTGTTTTGCAAGGCAGAAGCGAGGCATTGGATTTTACACAAGCTTGTGCTATTTTCTTATGGATACTTTAATTTTGTGCTTTTTTCAGATGTTTTTCTTTAATCCAAAATAAAATTACTTTGCTTAAAAGGCTACAGTCAACCAAAACTCTCTGTTGTGCAGTACCTGCTATCACAAGATCCTTTTTTGATTGGTCCTAAGACACATAAATTACATCACTACACTTCCTTCCTTAATTTTGTCTTTACTTTAAACACAGCTGTGATTTTCAGTTTATTCTGGACCCAGAGCAAGCCTTTAGGACTCAACTGATGAAAAAAAAATCTTAAAAGGCAATTCAGGTTTGTGAAGGCATGTACTGTGCTCACTTACGGGATCCAACTCTGTTCTGAGTTACCCAGATCCATAACCCCCATTTTCAGCAGAGCTGCCTTGTGTAACAGAGGAGGAATGTGACGTTAATGCCATTCACCATCCTTGAGATAGGTGACATATCTGTATCTGCCTTGTGGGGAATCTTTGGACAGAACTCCTGGGCCAGGTTGCTTGGACCAGGTCTCGTTTTGGGGAACCTAAGCTGTTTGTCTCAGCACCATGAAGTGGTGCAGTTTTGCATGCAGAGCCCAGAAACGATCAAGCTGTTATTACACCAGCAGCATTTTGATTTGAAGGTGACCGAGACACTCCAAATGCTGTAATACTTAAGCAATGGCCAATGATTACAGTTTGCTGTTGCCCAAGAAGCTTCCTTATTCACTGATAGCAACAGTAATGTACACAGCACTGCAGCTGGAGATGGAGTCTGTTGGGGCTGGTTGCTACACAGACACAGGAAAGAACGCAGACATCACTTGTTACACCCTCCAGAATTATAAGGCTGTAATTAAATCCCCTTTTTCCAACAAACTTTGTGTAAGCCCCAGGGGACGAGCTGGCACTAAAGCCTCCAGGGAGTTTGCATTGGTACACAGAACAAAAGGGGAGACATTCCCCTCACCTTTTTATTGTCTGTTTATTGAATGTATCTTCAGCTCTGCTGGGTACTTCCCAGCACACAGGCTTAAAATGGAGCCTGCACTGCAAAGATGAAAAAGCAAAAAAAGCTCATCTCTTCAGGGGCAAATATACTGAGCCATTGACTAGGTTATTTTAGGATTATGGCATAGTACAATTGCTTGCTGTTATTCTGGCAGTCATTTATCAGGAACCAGTTATGCACATTTTATAAAGCTCTTCAAAAAACACAGCTACCCGAGAACACTTCACACAGCACGTTTCAGATGTGCCTTTGTGCACAAGTTGTTTGTGTCTCAGTAGCAGCCGAAGAGCCATTCGGATGTGTTGGTTGCTATAGTAATTACTTTCCTTGGGAGCTAAAATAATAGCTTACAGCTCCTGCAGCTCGCTGTTGTGTAGGCTGCCTTGAACCAGAGACACTTCCATTTTGTTTTGGAGGGGGCTGGGAACTATACTCTAATGTATGCTGAGAGACAGACTTTCCTTTCTATGCTTGTGCAGCTAATTTTGAATTTAGCCTTTGTAGAGGATGTGTCACAGGTCTAAAGGTTCAAAAATAAAAGCAGCATATGACATAGTAGGACAGCCTTGCAGCTGAGGTTTCTGATGGGGGTGAAGATTTGGATTTGGTTTCTGTATCTGTTACTGTTTCCCCATAGGAAAGGGACTGATGGTCATGCTGAGACTGATTTTCAGTGCTGAGGGGCCTACAGAGTAACACGTGGGGGGCTTACAGAGGTTTCAAAAGCACCTAAGCAAGTCAAGCAGGAACATGATAAGCAGGACAGCTCTGTGTCATTCAACATTTTTTTCACTGGTGACGGCACTGGTGAAGTAACTGCTGTGTGGACCTGCAGCTCTGGAGAGGGTAAGGGGTCTCACTGCAGACAAAACAGCCTTTCAGAGCAATCCCACTGCTGGGAGACGCCAGCTCCCCCCTCCATCCGCAGGCACAGAACATTTCTGAGTGACATTTTAAATTGCAGGCTGTGGGACTTCTGCTTGAAAGGGCACAGTGCAGAAGCATTTCCCAGCAGTAGGACAAGCCCTGGGCTCGTGGCTCTGTGTGGTCATGAAGGAGGCACTGAACAGGAAGGTTTATAAGTCGTTTTGAGCTCCTGGCCTGACGAGCCAGGGATTTTTGTACAGCTTGCAGCCAGGTGGGCTGGCACAGTGTGGCACTTCTGGTATCTGCCAAGGAAGCAGAAGAGAGGCAGGGGCAAGTGGCACAAGAAATGATCAGACCAATTACCCTCCTGCT